CACCCTTTTGGGTGCTCGGACCCTAACTAATGAAAGAGAGACACCCTGAAATGAGGTAGTTAGTGCAGACGGAGCCTTGATAGAAGATAGGTGCTTGCTTTGGCTGCTGCCCCCCCCAGGAATTGCTGTGAAAACTGAGAGACTCCATAAATAGTCTCACGAAGCAAAGCACATTCTCCCCCTTATGGAATGGAAACTAATGTGGTAAGATGCATGCTGCATAGTGGGTTCAAGTACATTCATATTAAAGCAAGAACATTCTTTAAAGCACACAGTACAGCTCCCAAACGCAGCACCTGAAACTAGAAAACAGTGGGTTGCATTGCAAAGTAAACAAAATAAAAGGAGCTTAAATAATTCAAATTTTATTTCTTGAAGCAAACCAATCAATAAAACCTGACAGGATAGTTGCAGAGTTTAATGTTTACCTAAAGCTGATTCAGAATATCATTCAGGGCATAAAAGAGACAGTTGCTATTCATACAGCTGCTATAACCTCACATTTCCTCTGAAATAATTTGAGCTTTCACATAATGATCTCATTATCGCGCTGCCGGCTGAAGCTAACTATGGGTTTTATCGAGCTATCTCACGTGGGAATGTATCCGCCACACTGTAACAACAGTTTCCTGATCAAACTTTTAAAAAAAGTAGCACATATGAAAATGCAAATACATCTTTTCAGAACACACAACAGAGGAGAGGCAAGGGCTTCAAAGCACACAGTTGAAAAGGAGGGCCATAAACAGTATAAAAGTTCTGAAAACAAAAACCAGCTTCAGGCATATTCATCACATTTGACTACATGATACAAATTCTGCAGTTTGTTAAAAAGGTTTGTTTCATTTTTTTACTTGATTACAGTTATTCTTTTATTAATTACAATAATGCATTATATAATGGCCAAATTGAGAAAGAGCTGGCTTGTATAAGGGTACATACATCCTGTTTGTCAATGTCACAGAACAACACCCCCCCTCCCCCACAACTAAAAAAAAAAAATCTCACTAATTCGCTATTCTAGCATATCCCAAAAATAGATAACAAAACATAAAAAAAAGCAGTAGGAAATAACATGTGAGACCTAATGGGTACAAGATCTGTGACTACAGAATACATGGGCAATCCAGGGAAGTAGCAAATGAAACATCCAGCTTGCCAAAATGCCAGTGTTGGGAGAGCTCATCTTACTCATTTGGATTCGGGTTGGCATCTGGATACTGTGAGAGGTCGAAGGTAAGCACTTTGCTGATGACACAATCTCCTTGCTGTGGATGGAAGAGACAAAAAAATTTAGTTTGCTGTATGTTTCCCAAAAAGAAAAACTGTTGTTATTGGTCGGTTTATGCTGAATTCTACCCTGATTTTTCAATCAAGCTGGAAACTATAGTTGATGTACAGAATATGACTGTAATACAGTTTTTGCAAGTTTTAAAAATTTAATTGATATATATCTTAGGAACATTTTAATAGCATAGCAGTGCTTTTTAACACTTTTCTCCTCAAAGTAGTCAGTCGTGTTTGCTTCAAGTCTGATGGTTCTGACAGAAAAAAGACTGAAGAGCCTCCTGAAACCTAATCTGTCTCACTCGTACTTAGAAATGCTCAGCCTGACCCTGGTCAATTAAATGTAAGATGTCTTTTTTAATCCTTCTAAAACACTTTCCGGAGAAAACTGAATGGGATCCTTAAAGACCTGCAAATACCCTCTAATATACAGCTGTCAAAGTTACATGGCTATATTGTTTATTTTCAATACTGAGAAACAGATCTAAGGAGTGGGTGGCCATTTTACGTAACCTCTCACAGGGGGGGCAATACTATTTAAAAATTGCCAAACTTACATCACCCTAGCTGCTGGAGATGCACAGATGAGGATAAACGAATGCGTGTCATGAAAACGTAACAATTCAGGATTTCTGGGCAATAATACATATTTGTATTCATTTAATCGTCGATTGGGAGGCTCTCTACTGCACATAATTATTCATACAAGGGAATCCTGCAACCCTGCTGGATAAAAGTAATGGCGTATTTCATGAACTGATTCAGACATTCATTATGCTCAGCAGGAGACTGGTGGTGTAACAGTCGTTACATGTGTCACCACTTACAGATCTACAAACCCTGATTCTAAACTGACTGCAGATTAAAAGTAGTTAGATGTCTACAGCTCAACCTCATGTGGCACAAACATTTGAATACAATTTCATTTCTGTTTTTATTTTTCCTCTCATGGTTTTTGTATTGTCGTGTTGTTATGATGTATTTCTTATGATGCTTAACCTACATCTACATTCTTGGAAACTAGTCAATTGTACACATACACGTATTTATGATGATCCAACAATGTTTGAAAGTCAACAAGAAGAGACACACCTCTGGGTAAACACCTATGAGTGAGTCTGCCTTGGTGTAGAATTCCTCCTTCAGAGAAATCACGATGGCCTGGAAGTTCTGCACTGACTGGTCTTTGATGTAGTTGGCCACCTTGAAGGCAAAGAGTCAAATTATGAGTTCATGATGAGCATTGAATAAAAGCTAATGTGCTCTTTTGACAAGCAGCACTGATAAAAAAATCCCAAGTTATTAAATAAGTTTTAAATGATTTACTGATCTATTTTCTGAACAGACCTTGCCAATGTTAGTGTTGTCCAGAGCTGCATCAATCTCATCCAGGACGAAGAAGGGGGCGGGTTTGTAGCTACAGAAAAGCAGCAAAGATGTCAACAATATTCCAATGGTGCAAAAAACCTTCATGAACTTATCAGCAAGTCAAACATATATTAAGAATTCACGTGTACTCCTCCCTTGTTTCACCTGTGAATAGCAAAGAGCAGAGCCAGGGCAGCAACAGTCTTCTCTCCTCCAGACAGGTTGTCCATTGGTCTGAACCTCTTTCCTGGAGCCACACAGTTATAGTTGATACCATCCAGATACGGCTCCTCAGGGTTTTCTGGGCCCAGAAAAGCCTATTAAAAAAAAGATACACACATTGTTAAAGGTTTTGCTCTCAGTACATAACGAGGGAAAATGCACAGAGGGATCATGAAGAGTTACTGTTATGGTAAGTACACAATCTGTTACCCGTCATAAAACACACTGGCCACAAGTTGTGCTGTGGCACTGCATTGCCAAAACAAACCTGAGCACTGCTGTTGCGTGAGAGGGCCTTGTAGATCTCGTCAATGTTGGTGGCCACAGAGTCAAAGCAGGTATTAAAACGATCAAATCTTTCCTTCTTGATCTGCTCAAAGGCTTGCTTGGCTTTCTTGGCTCTCTTACGAGCAGCCTCAAACTCTGAAAACGAAGAAAAGCAAAAACATGGAATCACACATTACTACATTAAGCTATCTAGAAATACAGCGTCGACTTCCTTTCTCCTTCTCAGTTAACCCCACTATCCAGCCTTCGTACCGTCGCTGGTCTCTTGGAACTTGTCCCTGACGCTCTCGAGCTTCTCCATGGCCTTCATGTTGGGCGCGCTGATCCTCTGCAGGATGCTCTGCTGCTCATTCAGACGCTGCTGCAGTGTGTTCGTCTCTGCCTTGATCTCTTCCTCTGACAGAGCATCCTGTAGGAAGAATCACAAGACTTAATCCTCACATACTTAAAACTAAAATAATTGCTTTTTTTTTTTTATCAGTCCAGTGTACAGAGAAATAAGCAGCAATTCTCTCAGTGCATTCTCACAATTTATTAAAAAACTGTGAGTAATATGCAAATATAAAATATTTTAAAATGTAAAAAGTATTATATACACAAGTGTAATCTATGAAAACAGTGTTATTGCCTAATGTTGCAAGGACAAATTATTTGGTGTGTTAAGAAAAGTATGAAAACAGCTGGAACCATATTGCAAAACTACATACAAGGTGCAGTTCCATGTAAGCACTAACAAAATAGAGCACTCTTCAAGAGTGTAGCTTAAAGTTCTGGACACATCTTTGCTGCCAATGACTTGTTTTTCTCTTTTGTATATTAACAAGCACCCTAAAACTGTGCAGAGAAACGTGCTGCCACTCAGAAAGTCAAATAACTCAAATTCAGAGAGCTAATGTTGTATGTTTTTTTTTTTTAAATGAGGTGCTGAGGATGTGCTGGACAGTTTAAATGAAAGGTGAGTGTGTTGTTTGGACAAGCTACCTTAAGGTCTTCAGACAGGTTGCTGTAGTCGATCTCGATGAGAGCCTCTTTAGCCAGAACGGTGCTGGATGTCCTCTGGCTGCTGGACTCGTCTGTCTGTGAGCTCCCCTGAAACAGCAAAAACAAACAAGAAAGTTGTCATTTTCGGTTTCAGTCTCACGTGAATAACAGTTAAGAGTACTTATGGTTGCGTTTATGTACCTCTCCCTGGCTAATATCATCCATTGTTCCGGACCGTAGGGGCAACCTGATATCCTGCATCTTACAGGCTTGCAGCAAGTTGTGACGGTCGCTGCGCTTCTGCTCCAGTTTGGTCTCGATAGCAGTCACCTCCTTCTGCAGCTGGGTCAACTCCCTGGAATAATTTTAAAAAATACATTTGTTAAACAAAATATCTTAAAGGTAGTTTTATGCTAACATAAAAAAAATGTTAAAGGGATCGTGTGTATTTGCAACCACTGACTTGTTGGCGCCGCCCAGTTTTTTGCGGATCTCTTCCATCTCATGGTTTTTATCATTGACTTCGGATTTCTTGGTGAGGTGCTGGTTCTTCAGGTCCTGCAGCTGAGCCATTGTCTCATCGATGATCTTCATGTGTCTGTGCTCCTCCTGCAAAGACACAAATAAGATTTAGCTTGCTTTTAAAATCGAGGACAGATTAAACGCTAACTTAACTTTTCATCCTTCATCTTGTTTTTTTTTTACCTTTTTAAGTCGTTCTATTTCAGCTTCGTCCTTCTTTACAGTCTGCTCCCACATCATGACCTTCTCCTGGTCCTCCTTCAGCTGGTTCTTCTCATAGTCTACCTGGATACCCAGACGGGTCTTCTGGGTCTCAAACTCAAGACTGAAGCAAAATGACATGAGGTTAGACTACACAGAAAACCTGACGCAGATTCAACACACCTACAGGAGAATTCACTAAACTCACCGCTTCTTTGCAATCTCATTCTGCCTCTTCACTTTCTCCTCCTCGAATTCTCTGATGTTCCTCACTCCAATCTCTTTACAGAATTCCACAAACACCTCATCCTCCACCTGGAAAACAAAAACACTGATGTTACTGCAAAGGCACGTCGTCACAAACTGACGTCTAAATTGATTTCACTTGACATCAGCCTCACCAGGTTCATGCGATCACGCAGGTCAGTAATTTCCCGCTCACGGGACTGAATGATCCTCTTGATGTCGTTGATGCGAGGGCCAAAGTTTGCTAGTTCGCTTTCTAGCTTGGACTTTTCCTGCATGGTGCAAATACAACAGGTGTTAATTCAACAGTCATTGACAAATGGCAAGAGGAAACAGTAAGCTGTAAGCAGGCTGTACCTGCATATTGAGGGAAAGGTGGCGGGTTTTCGTCTGTTCCAGATCACTCTGGGAGTACTTGAGTCTCATCTGCAGACCGTGAGCCTGAGACTGAACCTGACGCAGCTCGGCCTCCTTCCTCTTGGCCTTCATTTGCTCCTACAATGAGAAACATCAAGTGGGAAATGTCGTGAGTGCACTTCAAGTGACAATGCATGAAACTGCAGTCAGCAGATATAAACCAATAGCAGTTTATGCTCTGTAAAGCCAGAGGATGTTCAGCACACACTGCTTCGTGCCGAGTTTCTGTAATATCCTGCTAATGTACAAACAGGATCAAATATACAACCTTCTTGAAGCAGATAAGAATAATTAAAGTCACCTTGAGCTCTTCAGTGAGCTTCTCCTTCTTCTCCTTGAGCTTGTCCACTGCCTTCTCATCCCAGCGCCTGGCCTTGGCCTTGAGGTCGCTGGCTCCTCCGGAGATGACTCCAGACTTCTGGAACAGGGTACCGTCCAGGGCTACCGTCTGCACACAGATGAACAAGGAGATATCAAACAGAAGAACAGGCAATCCTCCCATATAACAGATCATCAAGTGGACATGCTACCTTTTACTCATCCGAGCTCATATTACACAAAGTACCTTGTGTCGGTATGGCCCTCCAAAGGCGATCCTTCGTGCATCCTCTACGTTCTCACAGACCAGAGCGTTGCCACAAGCGTACTGGAGGGCTTTCTTGATGTGGGGTGGCTCGTAGCGAATCACATCAATCACCAGCTTGGCTCCTCGCAGTTCTCTCAGTTTCTCATCAGTTGGTTTCACCTTTGAGAAGAAAAAATGTAGTTGAATTAGGATTTTTACCCAATTAAGTAACCTCAAATTCCCACTGATGTGTTGTATTTTGTAAGCAACATTTAATTAGTGACACTAGCCAAGATTTTAATAACCTATGACAGCTGGTTGTTAATATTTTGCATTCAAATGGCATTTTAATCGTAAGCTGGGGGGAAAAAACTGGTTGTAAGAGTCCAAGTGATTTAAGACACTTGAGACTTTTGTTTAAAGTCACTTAATTAAAACATTCACTGGCACTGAACACATTGTTTTGTGCATTCTGTACAATCTAATTAGTCTTTGGTAGAACTATTATCTGTGATGTTTAATATTCACCTCGAGGTAGTCCAGAGGAAGGAAGGTCTCCGGCTCTCCTCTCTGTTCCTTGATGTACTGAATACAGTCTCTGCCTGTTTTCTCTGAGTCAACAATGATGGCATCCATGTTCTTGCCCAACACTTTGGTCACAGCGATCTGATACTTCTTCTGAGTGGGCTGGCACAGGTCGATCAGACGACCATACTGAAAACAGAGCAGAATAGTTTTATTCAACAGATATTAGTCAATGCTTTCACTACATCTAGCCACCAAAAGGGAATACTGTAGATTGGTTTTGCAAGCAAAATAAAATATATTGTTCGAAGTGTCATCACAGTTGCCTTACCACAGAGCCAGGGTAGAGTCTTTTGATACTCTCCATGATCTCTGCCTTGCGCTGCTGGCGACTGTTCTCCTGCCTGTCGATTCTGGCATCTCCCAGCTGCTCCATTACCTACAGCAAAAGCCAATAATCCTGGGATTAGTCATACAGTTCTTCACAACTGACATTTTCACTATGCATTCTAGCAGCTAGCATGGATTCGTGGCCCGCTGAGCAATCATCTATTTCATAGGCCACACTCGTGCTTTTCCCCGATATGTGAAATGTCTGCAGTGCAAAAGGTCAATTGATCAACATGGAAAAATTCTTCTTGCACACTTTGATAAAACAAGTTACAGAAAAAGCCTGAGGTCTTAAGAACAAGGTTAACACATGCAGACATGAACTCCACCAACTACAGCAGTGAAAACACTGATAGTCAGCGAAGATAATCGTTTAATGTCATCTGCTTGTCTTTCTTCGCTGTGGATCGAGTACCTGGTTAAGTTCCATGTTGATCTCATCAATCCTCCTCTTGGCCATCTCAACCTCCTCAGTCAGCTCTTCTTCCATTCGCTTCTGCTCATCTAGTGACTGCCTGAGAGGTAATAGAACAAAAATGTGTAAATGAAGCAGTAGAGGTAAGAAACACATGAAATCAATAATCGGAACATACAAAACAATACAAACATAAGTGCGGCATACCTGCTGGTAGTAATATAATCCTCTAATTTCTCAATACGTTTCTGGTTTTCCTCAATTTCACGGATCTTCTGTTTGATTTTGGCCTAGACAGAAAAAAAAATGCATTCTTGTATCAAACGGGTGCAATTTAACAGGTTCTGGCACAAAGCTGCCTTTATTCTTTTCTTTACCTCTGTCTCCACTTTCTTCCGCTCCTCCAAGTCGAGGCGGTCCTGGTCGGCCTTCTGGTCACGGTTGAACTTCTCCAGCTCCTGTGCCAGGGTGGCAGCACGTTTACTGGCCTCCTCCTTCAGACGATGGTACTGCTTGACCTGGGGGACGAGACAAACGGGTCATTCAACGTCATTTATACAGTAATGTCAATCTGACTTCAGCACATCAAAACAAAAATTTGAGTTAAAAATAACACAACAAACTTTGGGACTTAAATAAACTTGCTGTCAAATTACTACCATCCTCCAAACTATTGCATGAATTTTGAAAAGCCAAATATTACAGACCATCACACGGTCAGTTTGGACAAAAAATTGCCTCAGTGTGTGTTCTTTTTAATGAACTGTGGAAGTCTTAAGTGTGAACAACAGGCTGTGAATCACATCAGACCTGATTCTCTTCGAGCGTTAGGTCCTGGCCCTGGCTCTGCGCCTCCTCCTCCATTCTCTCCTCAAACTCTTGCTTGGCCAGCTCCACAGCCCTCATCTCTTTATCCAGCTCATCCATGTCTGCTTTGCGCTTCTTGTACATCTTCTGGGCATTTTGCAGTGATTTCCGTGCCGCCTCAAGCTTTTTGATTTTGTGTGAGGTGTTCTCTTTGGCCTTGATGTACTGAGGCCTCTTTTGGTTCAACTCAGAGTCCTTCTCTCTGCAGGGAGAATCAAATGATTAACAATGCATTAAGAACTAAATCTATGTATGTACATTAAGAAAGCTGACAGCTTACTTGATTTCTTTCTCGATGGTCTGCTGCTCCCTCATCAGCCTGCCCAGTTCCTTTTTCTTGTCCTTTAGCTCCTCCTCCACATGGTCCATCTTCTTACGGTCCTTGTCAATCTCCTTGTTCCTCTGTCCGAGCTCTTTGTTCAGCTTCTCAATCTCAGTCTCATTGTGGTAGAGCTTGAAGAGCTGCAACTGTACACTGGCCCTGGCTACTTCGTCTTTAAGACGCTGGTAACGCTCAGCCTGGTGGAATGATCATAGGAGAGAAAGAGAGAGAGAGAGAGAGAGAGAGACAGTGTGATTAGAAATTCATGGGTATTAAATCTCAGGGGCCAATAACAATAGATAAAAATAATGAAGCTTTTGTGACAGATACAGATACAAAAATCAATGATAATATTTACGCAAACTAAAAAAGTGAAGATGAAAATAAACATGTTTTTAGATTCAAAAGTTCATGTTTTTCAAATGCAACACTAATGTTTAGAGAGCCTTTAAAATCTCAGTCATAAAAAACACACTGACTAGAAAAATCAGTGTATTTACATTATACATCCTTGTAATAGACATTTATTTCATGTTTGATTATTTAAACTAATTATTACTAGACTTCAATTCTTGATTTCTAATAAATAAAAAGGAATATTATAGGCTACAATAAACATTAGAATAAGTTTACATAAGGCTAGACAGATTAATGGTGACCTAAACCCCTTGAACTTCATTATTCAGAAAAATGAAGGTCTTTTTTTATTAATTATCCAACAGCTCTGTGGCATAATTTATCCTCTCCCTTGTTCGTCTCCCTTTGCTGCTGGTATAAAGAGATGCACTGCTCTGTGGGTACTGCTGGTTGAGAGGAAGAGGAGTGGGCTGGCCTCAATGTCGAAGCCCAGCGGAATTCAGCAAAGTTAAAGATACATAGCTAATTAGGCGCATAGGGTTACTTTGGGGGATCAGCTGAAGACGCTGCATTTCTGCAAGTTCAGAATCTGCTTGTTCAACAGGGCTTTGTTAAATTGCTTGTACGCTGGCGGATTTCGGTGCCCTTACAGGCATAACTAGCATTGTCATCATCAATGGAAGTCAATTAAAAACCTTAGGTCTGTTTCACTCTCTCAGCTCTTTTCCGTTGCTCTGTGTGTTTGTGTGTAGGAAGAGTCAGCCCTCTTGTGAATAATCAGCAGCACACAGAGAACAGCAGAGATGAGAGTGGCAAAAATCACCACTCAACACCAGGGTTTAAGTGGTGTCTCTTGCCTGCAGTATGCTCCACACGACTGGAATCAACTTTCAGTTACCAGCTACTGATATATTATACATCCAGAAGTGTGACAAAGTAATTTTTTGTGCTTTGTATAATTATGGATGGCCTTTAGTTTTAACCAAAACAGATACACTTTGAATAAAAATATCTATGTCACGAATGACCTGGCAAAAAATAGGCAGCAATAATAGTGGGTTACAAACAAATAACATCAGGCAAATAAACCAAAATGTACTTCAAATGTAATCTACAGGAAAATCCACTTTAGATTCAAGGAGCAAAAGTTAGGCAGCTATTTCAGTTTGATCCAGGCAGGACATCGATACATAGAAAAAACTGAATTCCAGTTATGCTGCATTTTGACTCAACTTAAAGGCCATACCTCCTCTTTCTCTTGCTTGGCTTCTTTGCGCTCTGCAGCGATGTTCTTCTTGCGATGATAATTAAACTGTGTGTCCTCCTCTGCCTTCACCATCTCCTTCTTCCTCCGGTCATACTCCTGAGCCAGTTCTCCAGAACGTGAGATCTCCTCAAACAACGCTGTACGCTCTTTGGGGTTCTTCATGGCAATAGACTCCACAGCTCCCTTTAGGGAATATAAGGACAAAACTGTGCTTAGCAATAGAACCTGTTAAGAGCATATTATCAAATGTAGTTTAAAGACACTCTCCAGTAGTTGATTTAATCCCTAAAAACTCATCTCTAAGTATCAATGTAACATGTTTGGAAGGTTTTTCCATGAAAACTATCATGGAAAAATAAAGCGCTGGTCTAACTAAATCAGCCACATTTTGATGTGTTATGATACCCAGTGATGACACACGTGCCACTTCTTAATTATACTTATGACCAAGAAGCACAATAACCTTACAGCAAACTGGGGCCTCTACAGGAGCATAATGAAAAAATGTCGGGAACACATTTCCCCTAGGAAGAGTTAGGAATGTCAGTCTCACCTGAAACACTAGGAAATTCCTAGCTTTGATCAGAATGCCAAGTTTTTCCAGCTCTTCACTGTATTCCGGCAGACCCACCACTTTATTGTTGATGCGGTACTCAGAGGAGGAACCTAAAACATGGAGCAAAAACATCATAAGCATTAGCTCATCGAAAACAAACAGAAGAAAGCTAAAAGGCTGTACAAGGGAAGACAAACTGATAAAACATGTCTTTTCATATAAAAAGGTGCTTTGAAGAAAATAGAGCAAAAAAATACAGCGCAGTGGGGATTTTTCGGGTGTACATTAATTTGACTGAATCATTTGAAAGTGTGCTTCTTTTACATGTACATACTGCCAGCAGGATATTAAGGCAAACAGTTAATGTTTCAAAAATATTTAATACTTGATGTTTGTGAAGCTGTGCATGGACACAAACAATCAATACCATTAATATCTACAACTGAAGAGAACCCATATTTCTGGTACAATGGACTAAACAAAGATTGGTTTAATTAAACACAGAAAAGCATAATACAGGGAAGTGAAGTACATATTCCAACATGACTGTAATTAGAGCTTCATACCAATAATGACTCTGGTGAAGGAGCGTTCCTGTCCGTCATCTTCTTGGTACACCATACTGACAAAGGCCCTGTTGGCTGCTGGCTTCCCCACAGGCGCTCCATGGATTAGATCCTTAAGAGTCTTTACACGCAGGTTACTGGTCTTCTCGGCCAACACAAAGCTGATGGCATCCATAAGGTTGGACTTTCCTACAACAATAGCATGGGAAATATTAGTAACCTATACATAAATCTGATATGGAAATCAACATCTAAACTGAGTTAAGCACATATATATATATACAGTTGCAAGCATTGATAAATTTATCATCACGACTTATACGATGCTTAGTTTACTTCAGACTCTAAGTAAGAAACCACTGCAGTGTGATGTTGCATTGTATTATATGTGTAAAGCTGAATTAAACATCTGTTTGCAAAAATAATAAATCACAACGTTATGCACGAAAACTAAAAACATGACCTAAAAATTATACACAGGCAAAGTTTGATGATTTATTTAACATGTTGACGAACAGAAAGACAAACAGAATTGTACAAATTGACAGTCATAAACCGCGACCGCAATAACACAGTGGAAAAAGTAACTAGAACATAAATAATACGATACATAGTACGAATAGTATTTTACAGTAGAACTGTCCAGCATAATACGGCAGATTTTCTATGCATAACCTGCAAGTTGTGATATGTAGAGGGAGCGGTGCATTGAAGCACCGTGTTTACCGCTAACCAATGCTAGCAAGCAGTTTGCATTAGCCGCAAGTTAACATTGGACATCATAACATACCAGATCCATTAGGTCCGATGATTGCAGTGAACTTATGGAACGGTCCAATGATCTGTCGTCCCTTGTACGACTTGAAGTTTTCGATCTCTATCAATTTTAAATAACCCATGTTTGTTTTGCCGGTGCAAAAATACTGTACAGTGAATATTAGCTTAGTAAAACGTTAGCTAGTTAGCTAATGCTAACAACCACTGTTTAGCGAACAAGGCGAAGACGAAGCGAGCAGGCAAATGAATTAACCTCTCTTTTCAATCTATTGCTGTCCCGTGCACAAGTTACATTATGAAGTGCACGCTTAGTATGGTAATCTAAACCGCGTCATAATCTTCATCAAACAGACTCCGTACGGTAGTGACAACAATGCGCCATTTTACAATCCAACAGGAAGACCCTCGAGCGCGCGAGACATGGAATCTCACAGTTTCTCGCGAGATGAAATGGAGTTTGGTTTTGGCCTGGGGGATTGTGACTTTTACACTAATAAATTATACAACACCACAGAATATATCTTTTCCAGTAAGATTTGAGAACGCTTTTGCATTTTGTACAACTCTGTGTATTTATTTCGGTTTGTTTTTAAACATCGCGAAATATGTACCGATGTTACCATGGTTACAAAGGGCCTCGAAACACAACAGTTCGAGCAGCGAGGCACTTTCATCACTTTTCATTTGACTGAAATAGTAAACACAAGTCTGTAAAGTTACAGGTAAGTGTTGTTTTATATCAGTAACTCTTTTTTTACGACAAACAGAACTGAACTAAAGAACTTGCTTCCAGTTTATACACACGTAATATGATCAGGTCATGACAAGAGCACATTTGTCTGAAGAACTCCATCAAATGTTGAAGCTCAATAATCAAATTAAATTCTTTTCAGTACGGTTAATGCAATGATGTCTCCGTAGAAACTCTTCAGGAACTGCAAGCATGTACAAAGTGGATCTGCCTGTGGACCAGACTGTAGAACAGGCTGTGGAGAGGAGGAGAGCTGCAGAAACAGCACGCAAAAGCCGCGTCTTCAACACCCGGCTCCGTGTGATGGGCCTCGACCTGGATGCTCTGAACCAGCAAGTCCAGGAGAAAAAACATCAGCAAGACATGGAGAAACAACGGGATCAATCTTTCGGTAGGCTAAATAATTAAAAAAATAAATATTGAAAGACAGGAAATAATCTGTATGAAATGAGCTGAATCCCAGCCATTGTTCACCCAGGACTTAAGGAATATTAGGTCTCTCAGTAAAATATTGTATTAGACCCTCTCTTGTTTGAAACAGGATCAGATAAGATAATAAAACCTTTATTAATCCCAAAGGAAATTGTTTGATATTGCGCAGAAAAAACAAAATGACATAACATAAGGAATGCAATGCCCAGCAGAAAAGCAATAACATATAAGTACAATGCATTACTGAAATAAAATAAGTAAGCTAAAATAAGACTAGAGTAAAACAGAAAAAGTAATGCTGGCAATGACACTGAGGTAATAAGTCATGTCACACATGAAAATGAAATAATGCACCAAAAAATGAAATGAAAAATTAAATATTAGATATTACACTGACAATGTTGTGCATGACAAATATCAAAATATTGCCCATGAAAATCAAATATTGCATGAGAAAAATGAAATTAAAAAATGAAATCTTGCCAAAAATGATACTGAAATTGATATTGCGCAAACTATTGACAAAAGTAATGTTGCAAATGGAGATTGATGTTAATGTCCAGATCTAAGCATCCAATTTTTCAGCTGTTATTTGTGTAGAAAGGAGGAATAGCTATAGAGTTTGAAGGCCACTGGTAGAAAAGATCTCCTGTGGCGTTTTACATTTCACTACTAAGGAGCACTGATCACAGGTGTGTTTTTAATACATTGCAGATAAGCTGAGAAAATATCAAGATGAAGCACTGCTGCAGCAAAACATGGATGAAAAAGAGAAACGAGAGGCTTTGCATATTGATCTGACCCAGTATTGGGCCACTCATCAGCGAGTGGAGGACTCTCGTGATGCTGATCTCAAATGTGGCCTGAAGGAGGCGTTCAAGAGCACCATTCCAGAGAGTCAGCTGGGGCCTGCCAGTATGCAAATCTTTCAGGTAGGCTCAGTGTGTAACAGGGAGATGCCTGTTGTGCTTCAAATACCAATGGAACAAAACCCAGTGAATGGTTGAATAAATGATCTAGTAACCCCTAATGCACTGTGTCCTTGTCTCATGCATAGGGAGAGGGTGTCGGAGAGAAGCAAATGAAGAGAGAACAAATGAAAAGGACAGAAAGAGATCTGCAAGTACAGATGGATGACAATGAAAGAAGGCACATGGCAGCCAAGCACAGAGGTGAAAAGAGACAAACGCAAGTGCTCACACACAGGAACACACGCACACTGTGATTACTGATGAGCTTACATGCTGTACTCTACAGCTTCTGTAAATCACATACATGCTTCATGCTTTCCTGCACAAACAATCACACACTCCCACGCACAGCCCTTACTGCCAGGTGACATTGATGGATGCTCATCCCAAAGAGCCGTTATGTGTGTGCGTGAGTGTGTCGTTGAGGAGCTTTGCTCAGTGGGTAATGGGTAATGCAGGTGCGAAAAACACACTTCAGATGATTTCCAACTCATGTGCTTTACAGAGATGCTCCTGAGCAGAGAGCTGGTGCATAAAGACCTAAGGGGTGTTCAACAAGCTGCACTAGAGGAGGAGTGTAAGAAAGCTGCCCGCCTTGCGCTCGACAACTACAATAACGCTCTGGTACAGTACATACATGTGCACACACAGATGGACACACAGATGCTCACACACCACCCACTGATGTGAATGCGCAAAGCAGAATCTCATGGGATTTGGAGCTGTGACATGGTGTTCTCAGGTGGGAATTTGAAATTAAAATTGCTAAAAATGTTAAGTGATGCATGCACACACTTGGTGCAGGAAGACAGCCATCATAATATTTGGTACCAAGCAACATGGATGGTTAAACCGCTTTGTTATATGCGTGGGCCCTGTCTGTTTTTAAAAGCCCCCATTTAGCCCTTCACTCATTTGCCTGAATGCACTCAGCTGAAACCTCCATTGGGAGGCATCATTGCAAATCCTTAAGGTCATGGTATTTTCCATGACAATTATGTGGTGTCTCTAATAACCACTCATATGCATGATGCACAAATAAATACAGCTGACTGAGTGGATGTCTCAGGAGGACACTCACCATATGGCTGATTCTAAGCACATTTTTACAAGATGGGTTTCGTAAAGCTTCTGCTATTTCAGTGATCAAGGGGGTGACCAATCAACTGTCCCTGGATCAGTGGTAAGGCCTGACCGTGTCCTGTTCCCACAGGCTGTAGAGCGAGCAGAGAAATTGAAGGAGCAACACCGGAATGAGGAAAGGGAGAATCTCGCAGAGATGTGGCACACAATGACATCTGACATGATGACAGAGTGTGCAGAGGCAGCAGAGAGACATGTGGGAGGAGGGAAGGCACCACAGGTTCTGCCAGACAGGTGGAAGGGGATGAGTCCTGAGCAGCTGAGAACCATCCACAGGGAGAGGGAAGAGCAGCGCCTTGAGAGACAGGTACTGACACAATGTAGCTTCCATAAATGTATGAGCAATTCATGGTCAGGTCACATCTTTCTCTGCACCAAGCTTGTCTTTAGTTCTGCCTTAATGCAAAAGTCTTTCAGAACAGTGTTTCCCAAGCTTTTTGACATGTCACCACTTAAAAGTAATGATTTTCATGCTCATCAGATCATTTAGTGAACTAGTTTACCATATGTGGGTTTAAATTAATTGTTTTTCCAAGTGTCTCCATCTGTCCATCCATTTTTGATGTACAGCTTTTATCCTGTGCAGGGGGGCTGGAGCCTGTTCCAGAACAGCAATTGTAGGATATTGTTACACTGAGTGTCCCCACTTTTGGCATTTATTTACTTTATTTCTTTCCATCTCCAGAGACAGCGTGATGCTGAGAAGCTTCAGGAGGCAGCGTGGGACCTCCAGCTGCTGAAGCTATCCAGAGAAGCAGAGGAGGAGGAGAGGAGGGCGGCAGACCTGAGGAGAGAGCAGAGGATTCAGATGGACCAGTACAACATGCAGCTGACCAGAGAGCAGCAGGCACAGTGAGCACCGTGCACACACATGCATACACTCACTCATCAGGCTCTCGTCAGCATATATGTTGTGTATGTAGATGATGAAGTGCTTTAATATAGACAGAATATGACACTCTGTTCATTTGTGTTTCTGCCTCAGTCAGGAGTACCTGAATAAGAAGCTATACACCAACAAACCTACCAAGGACTACTTTTATCAATTCAACACCAGCTCCCGATGACCACCGCACCCGCTTCCCCTCCTGGGACAATGTGCTAATAACATTGATTGCTTGTTACATTCATAATCAATGTGAAATGAATAAATGATTGAATAATACTTCATGTTTATTCAGTGACACATACTGCATTGCAAAAAAAAAAAAAAAGGGACTCTTTTTTGGTACAGATTGTTCCACGTACTTTATTTTTCAGTCATATATCCAGTTACAGTGGTAGATTCATAATGCAGTTACAGTTACATTGGCCCCATATGTGGTACAACCCAACTCCTGTCGTTCACCCATGATACATGTAGGCATCATCGTTGTGCTGATGGTGCACCCAACACACCGCCTCACCTCGGCAGTGGCACACACTCCCAACCTTGTCCTTGCCTCCCCTGTTTTCTCTCACTCCCGCTCAGGCATTGTTCTTTAATCTGTCTGCTTTTGAGTTCTGGAGAAGCTTATCTTAAACACACCAATTCATTTTTCATAGATTTTTTATCTTTTAACTATAAAAAAAAAGGAACCAACAAAAAAAAAGAATAACAGCAGAAAAGCAAAGGCCAGTGTCCTCAGGTTTCCCCTCGAAACATGAAAAGCAAAGAGTGAGTAGCAGTCGAGTGAGTATCTGTGTGTGTACACTCATTCCTCATTCAAAGCTAACATTTGCCCCCAACACTGACAAACACAGATGTTTAGCAGCAGATAGTTGAGTTAGAATATTGGCATATTTTGTGTCATTCATTGCTCCTGTAGGAAAATAGATTTTTTTAAAAGCTTTATTTGTCCTGAGTGTGTCTGTTTAACCAACAACAGGGACCTCACATACGCCTCCGTCAGTGCCTCTAGCCTCTTTAGACGTCCCATGCACCGCCTCGGGGACTGTCAGCGGATGTTTGGCCTGTGGCAAGCTTTCGTTTGAGTAGGGAGAGCATTGCATATAGGTACTCCCTGTGGTATGCACTAACTGGCTTACTGCATTCCTGCCCCGCATAACAGCATCAGACAAAAACTCCACAGATATTCACTGCACTGCAACGCATTGCTGGATGAATTATGGGCATGAGCGCAACCGTAGCTTTCACTGAAATGTAACTACTTTCACTAAATGACACTAATGTACAATTTTTTGATTTTCAATTTTTTTTTGATATGTTTGCAAACATCTACAGAACAATGTGGATTTTTTTTTCCTTTTTAATCTTTTTTTTTTTTCGTTCTTCAACTATTAAACTACTTTTGCTACACCCAAGTCTCACTGCAATCATTTGTCAAAAAACGGAAAGTTTGATTTCATAGCAAGAGTACAGAAGAAAAAAAATATTACAACTTGCAACATTTTAAATTAAGTGGTTTTCAACCTGCACATTTTTCACATTTTTATATCAAACATGGTTCTTTAAGGGTTGTATTTACATTCAGTGGGAGGAAAAAAAAGTTGTCCGTCTAACTCTTATCTCTTCATTACCTTGTAGTTCAGATTTTTTTTTTTTTCCATCAGGAGCATACAATGTCTGCCTGGCCCTGAAAAGAATACATTCTCTGCGTTTGATATAAATACCAACTGTTTACCTTTATCATACATCAATTGGCAATCATCACGCATGTCTACAATATCAACTTGCATTGATGGAGGTCTGAAAATAAAACTTGAGAGAGCGTTTGCCCACAAGACTCCACTCTCTAATCTGTAAATATACATAAATACTGCTCCTCAGTCAGTTTGTGTAGTATGAGATGGACAGGTATGAAAAGATTGTTAATTAGAGACAACAATGTTTTAATACAGTGTAGAAAGAGACAAAGACGGATACAGAAAGCTACACATAAGTCTTGACACACACACAGAAAAAAAAAAAATACAATTTCATTTCCAATAATGACATTACACTTCTGGAGGGAAGGCGAGAGAGTAATGACATCAATCTGGTGCTTTATGCAGATCCAGCAGGCACAGGAACTTATAAGGAGCATGTACATATCTATAATACTGTATTATGGCTAAATAGATAGATGTAGATGCAGCTATATACACCAGATGCTACTCAGCATTTTCACAGCAAGTTCCCCTTAATGCATCCAATGTTATTTATAGTAAGAAACTTGGCTTTGCTTAATTTCAGTGATGTATGAAATATGTCAATAAAAAGAAGTCAAATGTTTCATACAAATAGTGTAAAAAAAACAATATGTAAAAATGATAGAAATAACAATGGCAGATAACAAAAATGATGTTTTATATTCAAACACATTTGTTAAAAAAACTAAGAAAAATGTCACTGGCAAGTACAATCTGAGACATCAAATGGCATTAGACGTAGAAAATCATGTGTGAAATAATATCAGACATGATAACTATCTAAGATTCAAGACGTTGTTACAGCAGCATGTGCTGTCTGCTTCCCCTCACTGGGCTCCACTATCATCCTCCCACTTTAATGCACTACTCTGCATCTCTAGACGACCTCCAACCCCTGATATTTCTAAATGTACAACATTCTGTCTATGTAGTTTTGTTTGCTGAGAGAAAGAAAGAGAAAAAAAGGGAGAGAAATGAATGTGTATCCGTTTAGAATCATTGTAAACTACACAGGTGAGGGGGGTCAAAGGGCATTTTCACGTCAGTCAGACTTGTATCATACTTGTCCACTACTTTGGACACTCCTTTGGTCAAAATAGTCCAGTCAATCAGATGACTGCCAAGGGCATCTGAATAGTCAATATATGATTGTGTATTAGTCGGTAAAATACAGATCAGCAAGTCAGCAGGGAACAGGAGTGTATGGGCACGTATGTGTTGACATATTTTGGTGTGATGATCCCCGGTGGATGTGTGGGGGTTAATCGAGGATGGTGACTGAGTTGGGCATGCCATTGGTGGCTGGGGAGATGGAGGTGGGGTTGAGCGGAGAGTTATCCGGCAGGCCATGGAACCCCTCTGGACCCTCGCTGGGACGACTGATCTGGCTGACCAGAGACTCGTCCATGTTGAGCTCCGTGGTTATGGCACTGCTGCCATTGAAGTCCAGGTTGTCCTCGCTGCACAGCTTGCTCTCTTCGCACAGGGATGGCTGGCTGGCTGTCCGCTTCTCCTCAAGATCACTGCAATACGTGAGAACGCAGAAGAGGTCAGAAGCAAGAGACATCATCACAAGGCGTATAAAAATTTCAGGCAATCTAATAATAACTTCATCTGTGTTAAAAAATAAAAATAAAAAACAGCCACCCTATACAAACATATATGCTGAAAATACATAAAACTAGTTTTCTCAAGTCATTTATTACTTGGCTGACTATTTTTGACTAATCTTTTCAGTAACTTTGAAGCAAAAACACCAAAAAATGCATACTTCTATGTTTTAAAATGTGAAAAATTGCTGCTTTAGTCGGTCTTTTATAATGGTAGATTTAATATTCTTGGGTTCTGGACTGTTGATCAGACACAACAAGACAGATGGAGTCACCTCAGGCTCCAAGATGTGTATTTTTTACAGTTTTTATTTTTTTATACACCAAGAGATTAATCAAGAAAATAATCTGCAAATGAATCAGTAATGAAAATTATCATTAGTTGCAGCCCCACATGATATATTACACTTTAATTGCAGTAAATGTTAGAGGGAAGGCAGTAGGTAGGTTAGGCATCGGCAAGGGATCATAAATAAGTGTTTCTGGGATGGTGAATCATATCACAGCATACCTTTCAAGAGATCTGCAAAGCAGGGGCAGGCATTAGGGAGAAGAGGGACAATGAAAGGAACACAAAGGGTTAGGAAAACCAAACAGTGCTGCAGGAATCAGGGATGTGCCAGGAATTCAGACAATCTATAGAAACATAGCATTCAAGGAAACAATGTGCATTCAGAAGACAAACCTGTACTCTCCGAAAGTTTCATCCTTCATTGGCCGAGCTTCTGAGTCCATTGGACCCTCTTCTTTATCTTTCACTGAGAAGGAGACGGATGATTGGATTTCATTATCAGCCGCATCTAAACCGTGTTTTTCTCTGAGCTACTGTCTCAGACGTTGATAATGACATTCTGTCTGACAGCAAGATAACATCAAGTTTGTGTATGTGGAGCAAAAAGCCTTCGACCATCTGTGGACAGTATCTGTTCGTTCATCTGGATTACAGTTTGTATTTGATTTACTTTCTCGTCTGACTTTCAGTATTTAAATAATTTATTGTTCATAAGTATAATGCCAGTGGGTACGGTCACATTTATTATTCAATTAGTTCTTGCTTTTAGCACAGACAGAGCCAGCCACTTGTGTCTCCCTTGTGTGGAAAAGGCTGAAAGGCTGGTGTTTTTCTCTGTCCAGTCAGACAAGGGCCTGCAGGTTGTAGTTACTCTTGTGGTTTGTGATTATTATTTCACGGTTCATTTCAGGGCAGAGCCTCTTTCCTCACTGTCACAGCGAGGAAATGCACGCTTGGAGTTCTATTTCACTGCATGTTCGATGTGAAAGCTGCAAGCGAGAAGGTACGCTGACTGAAACCAGACAGTTATTTTGAGTTGGATCCACTGTAAGGATTATAGAGTTACAGAAAGTGCTTCGGAAGCATTTTAAAAATGGTGCAGCCTTATTTTAGTGCCTTTTTCCTACTCAGAATGATCATATTTTCTGTGGTGCAGTCTTGTAAGTGCTTGGCTGTTTTTTCTACTACAGTATCAGTTTGCTCTATGGCTCCAGACTGACCAGTGGAGGTTTTGAAAGAGAAACAAATACAAATAAATTCACCCAAAAAGTTGCTCTCAATCATTCTGAACATTCTTTAGTTTAACATCTCTACTGGTGGATGCTGAGCGCTCAATGTTGTGGGCTACAGCTTACCTGAGTATTTCCCTCCTTTACTCCTCTTGATGAAGCAGAGAATGAGCAGTATCAACAGCAGGAGCACGAGGGCGCTCACCACACCGATGAACCAGCCCTGTGTGGCAAAGCTGGGCTGCATCTCTGTCACTCCTTCACAGGGAAGTGGGGGGAAAAAAAGAGTGTTAGTTTTTATTTTT